ATTATAAGAGTATGAACAGTTCAAAAAAAAAAAATGGTTCATGTTTTCCCTGCTCTGTGCCACACAACAGACAACGATAATCACTAATCGTCCACCTCAGTACTCCAGTTTACATTTCTAGTACTTTATTTGAATTGAAGTATACTTCTGTCCACCGTAAACTTCAGGTACACCCCTAAGCAAAAGCAAATACGTACCTAACATATATTCCATTGTCTTCGACCCCTCTTTAATTCATTGCCTTACAAAATGAGAAAAGAACCGATAGGAATTGCTTGGTTAGGTCAATTCTTAAACGAAATAATTTGATTCATAGTCTCGATCATTTGTAACGAGTCAATTCTAATTACTTGGTTCCCCGCAGATAATTTGAATCGACTCAAAACAGATAAATCTAAAGTTCCCCAAGTCAAATCGATCTATACATCCAAAAATATTGCGAGCAACATTGATCTAATAATCTCAAAACAGTTAGATTAAATTGATACTTTACAATTCCTCATCTAAACGATTTATTAATTCTGTCAACCATTTATTTAAAAAAAAAACACTGAGATGCGTTTGTAGTTTCTAATAACGTTAACTTCCAAAATGTAGTTAGAAGTAAATATTTGATACATTTTTTTTTATCTCATCGAATTGATTGTCATGATATAAATTTATTGGGTGTGCCTACGGTGACATGCATGTCACGGTGACTTGCACTTTCCGGTCGACCTCAGCTAGGATTAGGTCGACCTCATTTAGAATTCGGTCGACCTCATATAGGATCCGGTCGACCTCATTTAGGATTCGGTCGACCTCATATAGGATTCGGTCGACCTAATCTGTTGTTTCAGTGTAAAAACAGTTCACGGTGCTTACTTTGGATATTCATATCATACAATTGGCTAGATGGAAATTGAAGACTAATGACTTGTTTTGAAGCTGGAGTGTGCCTCTACATATTGAAGAGATTGATAGCTCGATAGGAAGTCCAGAAGACCATTTTTGAACCTCATCAAAAGGCTATGCCAAAACTGGGAAACTGCCTAGAAATGGCTAAGTCTGGAAACGTGTTTGTGAAGTCTATTTTTGAGCTCAATTCGAGAAGCATGAATGCGAGTCGAGTCCAGGAGCCTCTACCACGTTAAATTAGGTATGTTTTTATACAAATTCAAGGAATTGGATGAAAGATTGGATCTTTAAGGCTTCAAACAAAAGGGTCGAAGTTGCTACGAAGGCTGTTTTTCTGGCAGACTTTGAGCACAAGCAAGCTGCCAGAAAAACAGCCTTCGTAGCAACTTCGAGCCTTTTGTTTGAAGCCTTAAAGATATTGAATCTTTCATCCAATGCCTTGCCTTTGTATAAAAAAATACGTAATTTAACGTGGTAGAGGCCCCTAGACTTGACTCGCATCCATGATTCTCAAATTGAGCTCCAAAGTAGGCTTGGCAAACACGTTGCCAGACTTGGCCATTTTCAGGCAGTTTCCCAATTTTGGCATAGCCTTTTGGTCAGATTCAAAAAAGGTCTTCTGGACTTTCTATTGAGCTCCCAAGTACTTTAATGTGTAGATGGACAGTTCAGTTTCAAAACAAGCCTTTAATCTCCAATTTCCATCTAGCCAATTGTAAGATATGAATCTCCAAAGTAGGCACCATGAAACTATTTTTACACTGAAACAACTGATTAGGTCGACCTGATCCTATATGAGGTCGACCGAAAGTGCATGTCACCGTGACATGCATGTCACCGTAGCAAAGTCCAAATTTATTTTAGCTTCAAAATTTGTAGCCCCCTTTCATCTATGACTAATAGAAACAAATAGCATAGACGAGAGGAGGTCGTGGACCAACTTTCTCTTTGGGCCGACAAGAAGATATTCAGATGGGACCAAACTCCAACAAACCAAAACAACACGTCTCCAGTCTGTTACCTGCGTCTTTGCGTCTTCTTGCTCCAAATAAAATCCAAGTTTGAGATCCATACCATTATACCATAGATATCCCCTTTTTTTTTATTATCATTTTGGTGGAAATACATATCCCTTTATGAAAAGAAACAAAAGGTAAAATGCCAAAATGGGAGTTTACGAGAATTGTTGAACTCACTACACTTTGGAATTAACTACATATACATACGGCTCGTTCATATTTATTTTATTTTACTAGAGTTCATTTGCTAGAGTGCTTGATGGTTCATTAGAAAGTTTATTGGAGTGTATTTAAATTTACTAAGTACGATTAAGATGGTGGTTTCTGAAATGAGGTAATTTGACGTCTCATTTATGTATCATTACACAATGTTTTGTCCCTCTCTCCGTCAATCCAAATTGATGCAAAATGAGACAATTGAGTCAAAATGTCTCGTCGAAATGTTGCATCCAAAATTCCAAACGACGCCTAAATCAATTATTAGAAATTATTCTTATTCAAACCTCAATTTCGGTCGCGATTCTTATTAGTATGTTAGAATTTACATTTAATTTTGTTGGAATTTTTTTGGATTTGATTGTTGAAATTAACTAGTGTTCATAATATTCATAAAATCGAGCGAAACTCAAATCTCAACTCTTACCTGGACCTATTTTTATACAAATTAACCATAACGGTTAACTAGTTTTTTACCCGCCCGTTGGGCGGTGTATTTTGTTTGGTTGTTTTATAATTCGTTATAGTATTCTAATTGTTATTATTATTTATGTTTACTAAGGTAATATACATAGAATTGTAAATCCCACTTACCTTATTTCAGGTATTATTTCATACTTTTATACCTTTTGTTTATTTATGAACATTTTAATTTTATTAACTGAGCTCTTTGTAGACGGTTCTTTATTGATTTAGAATTTTTTTTATCGAACTCGCCCTTTAAGATTATAAACATAAGAGATTATTCATTCTTTAGCACAGAATTGTGATAAAGAGTTAAAAAAAACTTACGACCACAAAAGAAGAAGTTAGAATAAGAAAATATGCTTCAATTAATAAAAAAATAAGCGAAGAGCTTTTTATTTTCTCCCCCTTCTCATATGTCGGTATATGATAATAGAGAATATTCTGATCTAAATCTCATGAATATCGTGTATTATCACTTACACATACAATTTTGGAATAATGAGGAAACTCATTAGCATCCACGTCCGTCAATCTTCCACGTACTTGTTTAATTACCTTGAAAAGTTCTAGCAAAACCAACCACAAACTAAACTATCAGCTGTCACTAACTTATTAAAGCAATATTTTCAGCAAATTAAACTGCATATAATTAAACACAATTTATATTCAGTAGAGAGCTACATATCTCCTGCAGAAAAGAATTGTGCTTTATTACCTAATAACAACATAGACAAATAATGAAAGGAGCAGTCTTCAATACAAATCAACTCATTTTATCATTCAGATTCCTCATTTGTGAACTGAATATATGAATCAATCAAAATAGTAGTTTGTAAGAAAACAATCATGTCAAAATCAATCTTTAGTTAGAGATTCAATGCAGAAAAATTCACCTTAATGAAACAAACAAATGTCACTGCAAACATGTAGAAATTAAAAAAACATCGAAATAGACAACGGAGAAACCACCATTATCATTTTCTTTCTTCTTCGCGACCTTTATAAAACCGCAATTATGTTCCCTTCTACTTATAACCCTTTTGCTACCTACTAATTACTAACCAGATCATCATTGTATAGCTAGCTAGTAGTAGCATGTCAATTATGAACATAAAATATAATAAACAATCATCACAACTCTACTTTCCATTTCAACATTCAAGAAATCGGGTTGCAATAGGCATTCAAGAAAAACGATCAATTATTCAACCAAAGGAGGTATGCCCTAAGTCCAACCAATTAAACCTTCTAATTATATTTTATATACATGAAAGTATATGGCGACCCTTCTCAGTAAAAAAACAAAGACGAAATATATTCACTCATCGAGAGTGGGAAAATTTACCATCCAACAGTCGTAATTTGGAAGAAATTAAGAAAAGAATGAGAAAAAAAGTATAACTCGGCCAGTCAACCGCAAAAAATAACATATCGCTGAGAAAGTGAGACCAATTGCCAGCTTCAGATCAAGGAGGAAGAGGGAGCAGTCGACAACCCTCTACTTGGTTCACCTCATCTTCACAATTATTGGATTAACTTTTTCGTCAATAGGCAAAAATATGTTACAACTGCTCAAAATTTTGTCATCTTATCGTTGTCTCGTGTAATTTATGCCTCCTATTCTCATACAAAGAAAAAAAATTCTATGCATTACCATTTCCTTCTCTATAAATTATGAGAATACAGATATTAGAAATCTCAAAAAATTTAGCAACTAATAAGAGGGCTTTGTTTATTTTTATGGTGGTTGACATACTTTCTTGATTTCTTATTTTCAATGTTGGATTTTATTTCTAGAGAGACAATCAAAATGGGTAAAGGGGTAGAAACAAATTAAAAGTTTGCATTAATAATTAATATATTTTCATTTAATAGAAATGAATAAGAAGTTTTTAAAAAATAACAATTATTGCTCTATCAAGTTCATATTCAGACATTTTGCTATCTAATTTATACTTGTTTTATTTGATAGGTATATACATAAGAAAGAAGTGAGTGTTTGATAGCAAAACACATATAATCATATCGTTTATATTTTTTATTGAAAAATATTAATATTTATGTGTGTGCTTGTTTTTTTTCTTCATCAAAATGTAACTTATTATTAAGTTTTAGTAAAAATGAGTAGAAAATTTGCTTAATCAGATTTAACCAGCTTGGGTTAAACAAATACAATATATGTCACTCTCTGTTTCCATCTTTATAGTTCGTTTAATCAAAATTTGTTGTTTTATTTGATAGGTATATACATAAGAAAGAAGTGAGTGTTTGATAGCAAAACACATATAGTCATATTGTTTATATTTTGTATTGAAAAATATTAATATTTATGTGTGTGCTTGTTTTTTCCTTCATCAAAATGTAACTTATTATTAAGTTTTAGTAAAAATGAGTAGAAAATTTACTTAATCAGATTTAATCAGCTTGGGTTAAACAAATACAATATATGTCACTCTCTGTTTCCATCTTTATAGTTCGTTTAATCGATTTTTTTTATATTACTTAGGTGTGTGTTTTTTGTTTAAATGTTTCCTAAAAAATTAACTTATTTTAATTTTAGTAAAAATGAGTAGAATTATTAAAAGAAGAGAGAGACAACTTCATAAATAGATCAATAAATAGTTTTTTGTTTGAAAAAAAATTGTCCACCTTGACAACTTGTGCATTCATTAAGTGCTTATGTGGCAAGATGTTATTTTTGAATAGCCATAATATTTAGTATAGATAGATAGATAAGACGAGTCATTCGTATTAGTTGTCGATTAACGGGTCAAACCGACCCGAATTATCTATCTGGAAACAGGAAAGGAGGAAAAAAGAGAGAGGAAAGAGCAGTAATTGCGTGGGAAATTTCACTGATTAATAATAATCTGGCGATAATCACCGCGTAACGTGGAGAGCAATGAAAAGAATTGTTGCTGTCCCCAGTCCAAGCTGTCATCACTATCACCGTCGTTGGTGGGCCCCACCTCATCCGCCCGCCGCCATCGGCGGTTCGAATCTCCCGGCTGCAAGACTCCGCTCCGGCAGAGCGGGCACGTCATCATCATCGCCGCCGCCGACGCTTTCGCCCTCGTCTTCCTCGCTCCCATTGCGAACCACGTGTCGACGCAATCCTTGTGAAACGTGTGCCGGCACCCCAGTTCCCTGACGGCGTCCCCTTTCTCGAACTCGCACAGGCACACCGCACAATCTTCTTGTGACGGCGATGATTCCGTCAGCCGTCCCCGCCGCTCGTGGTGGTAGTAGAAATGAGGGTACTTCTCGTCGATCAGGCGGCGGCGGTCTTCGTCGTCGGTGATGGAGAAGACGTCGGACCTGCTGGCGGGGGAGGGGAAGAGAGATAGGGTGGTGATCAGTTTGACAAGGAGGAGGTTGAGGAAGAATTTGGCGACGATGTAGAGCTCGGAGAAGACGATTGGGATCGCTGCCATTGGTGGGTTTGTGGAGATCGAGGGAATTATTTGTGTGGTTTGGAAAATATATAGAGACGATGAATAAGGCTATAGAGGGATTTTGGATTTGGATTTGAAATTTGGTATACCGTATACATGAGGAGAATTGATGGTGGATATTTGCTAAAAAAAATATTGTTTCTCACTTTACTTTTATTTAAAGAATATTATTTTTCACAAAAAAAAGGCAAAATACACTTGTATAGCCAAAACTTTCGCGTTTGTGCCAATAATAGCCAAATTTGAAAAAATACTACTTATAGCCAGCTTTTAAAGTTGTTTAGGACAAATCTAGCCTTTTCCGTTAGATACTTTAACGGTGTTATTAACACCGTCAATTTATTTGACGTTTTGTTGACTAGACGTCAACTCAGCGGACACGTTAGCACCAAATAAGCCAAAAGCAACATATCATAATTTAAATTTATTAAATAATTACACATCATAAATTAATGAAATAAAAAAATTAAAATTAATTAATGGTTATTTTTCTACCCCACCTCACTTTCCCCTTCTCTCTTCGTTGGAAACTCATACCCAAACTCTCTCACCGGGGTCCAGATCTTGTCAGTAACTGATGGGTCAGTAACCCATCAGTAACCCCTTCCCTGGTCCCCACGTGTCAGTCACTTTTTTATTTAAATTAAATGTAAAAAGGGTAGTACAGTAAAATTGCACTTACTCCTATTTATTATTGATGCTCACTTTTGACCGGAGCCTATCAGCCCCTCCTTCTCTCTCCTCGCAAAACATTTAATTTTCCTTCCCTTAATCTTTAACGGACGATTTCTCACTCGTTTTAAGTCGAAATTTAATTTTTTTTGCACAGTTAGATCAGATTAATTGTGCTCTTCAAAATGATATCCACTTTGATATTTTTTGGACACAAAAAAATTTGTCAGTTATTACCAGTCTATACCATATGGTATGACTGTACCATATGGTATTGACTGGTATTAAACAAGAGCATACCATGTGGTATGGTAATATTTTCCACATGAATATACATTTCGTTACCACCCAATACCATATGGTATAGTGTGGTAATATCAATATATATTTCGTTACCACCCAATACCATATGGTATAGTGTGGTAATATCACACAATTCACACAATACCATATGGTATAGAGTGGTAATATCAATATATATTTCGTTACCACGCAATACCATACATTACCATAGGGTATAGTGTGGTAATATCAATATATATTTCGTTACCACCCAATACCATATGGTATAGTGTGGTAATATCAATAAATATTTCGTTACCACCCAATACCATAGGGTATAGTGTGGTAATATCAATATATATTTCGTTACCACACAATACCATATGGTATAGTGTGGTAATATCACACAATACCATATGGTATAGAGTGGTAATATCAATATATATTTCGTTACCACACAATACCATATGGTATAGTGTGGTAATATCACACAATACCATATGGTATAGAGTGGTAATATCAATATATATTTCGTTACCACGCAATACCATATGGTATAGAGTCATAATATCAATATATATTATCTAAAAGGAAAAAAACAGAAGGAGGGAGAGAAAAAAATCGTCTTCTGATGCCTCTCATTTCCTCTTCCTCAATCAAGAACACCAAAATGCCAAAAAAATGAGAAAGATCGGAATTGAGTCCAACGAGTTGATGAAGAGAAGAAATGCAATGAAAGAGAGTGGCTACAATTTTTATGCTAGAGAAAAAAAATGAAGAAGGAAGAGAGCAGATTTAGATTTGAAAAGGAGATTGTGAGAAAAAAAGTAAGAGAGAAGGAATAGAGAAAGAGAAAGGTTATGGAAAGAGATTGAAAAAACGGAAGAGAGAAGGAAGAAAGTTGAGGTGCAGAGAAGGAAGATTCTCTCTCTTTCATTGAAAAGCCAGCCATTGAAATGCAGAATAAATAAAAAATTAAAAATACGAAAACGGACAAAAATGCCCCTTCCCCACCCAGCGTCCAGCCCATCCACACGATTTCTCCCTCCCCAAATCTACGGCCCGCGTGTGGTTACTGACCCTATCTTGGACCCTCTCACCGGTTCGCTGCTCCTATTTTTCTACTTCTTACTATTATCCTCTGTCGATCCATTCACTTTCCAAAAAACCCACCAAATCCCTAATCACAAGCTCGTATTTCCTCCTCATTTGAAGGCCCAAAACTCTCCACCCCCGCTGCTACTCTCTATATCAACGTGATTGAGAGTGAAAAATCCAGAATCACCGCCAATCGAAGGTTGGAAGTTGCTAGAGAAATCACCGTCGCTGTTCTCTAACAAACAACAATCTAAATGTTGGGATATAAATCTTATCCCAACGCGCCTCTCTCGCTCTATTCATCTTTGCATATGGGTTTGGATGCAGGGGAGGAGCGATGGGGAAAACAACAAGCCCAGATCCCGGCGACGAACAGAGGGAGAAGCAGAGAATGAGGCAAAATGCATAGCTGCCAGGAAGCTCCAACAGTGCAAGGGCGTCTTCATCGGATTCATCTGCGGAGGATACTCGATCTCCTCTACAAACCCGATTTCACAATCGGGAGCACAAAACTGGGTCGTCATCTTGCTGCGCTTGACTGTTAGCGTATTGGGTTAAGCCAACTTGTACATATGTATTTCGTATGTAGGATGTTTATTTGGACTAAGTATATGTTTTAGCCCATGGAACTTTGTAAAGGGCTTAGGGTTTACGTGCATGGGTTAGGGTTAGAGAGCAACTATATATATGCTCTTTAAGAAGCTGTAGAAGATCATCCGATTACACCATTGAATAAGATATCAGCTGGAGAGGTCTCTCTCCCGTGGACTAGTCCCGAATATCGGGGATACCACGTATATCGAGTGTTATCGTTTCCAGTTATTGTTTACGTTCAGCTCGTTAACATGGTATTAGAGCTATCTACTGGCGATTCTGATCGTCTTGTCATTCGCTTGAACTCCAAGAATTACGCAGTCTGGGAGTTTCAGTTCCGTGTTTATGTTGAAGGAAAGGGCTTGCTCGGTTTGATCGATGGCACGTTGCCCAAGCCCACAACTACGGCTGAGGAAATTGCTAAGTGGTCTCAACAAGATGCAAAGGTGAGATCTTTGATTTTGGGCTCTGTTGACCCTACGATTGTGCTAGGGCTTCGTTTGTCAGCTGATGCAAGGTCCATGTGGAGGCACCTTGCGACGACCTAGTCTTCTCACAATATGGCACGACAGTTCGAAGTGTAAACCGCGCTCGATCGCCTTTATCAAGGCGATAAGGATGTTTCTGTCTATTATACTGCTGCCCAAGAATTGTGGACGGAACAAGACTTACTTACAGCAGCTCTCCGTTCAGCGCAAGCCTCCGAGGAAGTGATCGTTGATCGCCAACAGCAACACATTCTTCAGTTTCTCATGCGTCTCCGTCCGGATTTTGAATAAGTTCAGTCGACTCTGGTTAATCAAGACACACTCACAATGGAAGGGATTCTGGGCAAGCTTATGCGGGAGGAAGCTCGACTACGGATGCAGTCTTAGCTGAATGCGCGTCACAGCGAGGGGGAGGCTGTGTTCTCCGCCACGACAGCATCAACAGGAGCACAAGTCAATCCTGATTCAGCCTATGAAGTGGGATGCCCACAGTCCCAACAGCGCGTACCCATCTGCGAGCTTGAATGTCACCATTGCCATGTCAAGGGCCACCTCCAGAAGCACTGTCGGCAACGCAATTTTTGCGTCTATTGCAAGAAATCTGATCATATTGTTCTCGACTGTCCATCGGCGCAGAACCGACATCGAAACAATGGTGGTCCTCGTTCGGATGGCTCATCTGCTGCTCCTCCTACCTTTGCTACGCAGGTCGTTGCTCCCGCTCCAAGCTCGCCTTTCACCGTCGAGACTGTTGGGCTTAGTGAATGCTGCCCTTCAACGCTCACTCCCTACAGCTCTCAGCTCCGCGTTTTCCACGCTCTAAACCATAGGTATGCTTAAACCTTGGCTTTTAGATTCTGCTTGCTTCAACCACATGACGAGTGATATGAGTTGCTTGAAGAATGTATCTCCTGTTCAGAATCTATCACTTCAGGTTGCTAATGGTCAAACGTTGAACGTTGGGGGCATTGGTAGTCTTTGGCAGCCGACTATTGATCTTCAAAATACTCTTCATGTTCCTCAATTATTACCTAATCTCATTTCGGTGCGGCAGCTTACTGAGCAAGGTTATCGGGTTGTGTTTGCTCCGTCTGGTTGTGTTGTGCAGGAAGAGACGACGGGGAGGTAGGTCGGGCGCGGGAGTAGACATAGGCGCGTTTTTCACTTGGAGGAACTCTTGGATCATTCATCGTCACGTCCATCATTGTCTATTTCTAGTAGTATGTCGCAATCTGTCTTCTCTTGTTCTGTTTTTTCGAGTCTAGCTGATCAAACGTTCCATTTGTGGCATTCCCGCCTTGGTCATCCCCATTCGAGTCGGCATGTATCCATATTTAAACGTCAGTTATTTGGAAATAATAAGATGGCTGCTAGTTCTCCCAATCTTGCGTGTACTAGTTGTATCGAGGCTAAGTCTATTCGCAAAAGCTTCCCGTCTAGTACCACCGTAATTGATGATTCGTTTCACCTTATTCATACGGATCTGTGGGGACCCTCTCCTGTGATTTCTCGCACTTCTATCTACTTTGCTTTATTTGTGGACCATGCTACTCGTTTTGTCTGGGTTTACTTTCTCCGTCTCAAATCCGATCTCCTTCCCATTGCTACAGAGTTTCTGGCCATGATCCGTACCCAGTTCAATAAACCTGTTAAGATTGTGAGATCAGATTGAAGGTGGCGAGTTTAGCTCGAATACACTCATTGATATTTATCGAGCTCTAGGCATCTTGTATCAGAAGACATGTTCTGATGTATCCCAGCAAAACGCTATAGTTGAGAGAATGAACCGCCATGTGCTTGAAATCACACGTGCTCTCCTTCTTGAGTCATTTGTTCCACCCCGGTTCTGGCCGGAAGTCGTGTCTACTGCTGTTTGTTTGATCAACTACCGGATCACGCCTGTTCTTAGTGATAGGATTCATTACTTTGCCTTGTTTTCTTGTCATCCTGATTATGCTAGTCTCCGTGTGTTTGGTTGTAGGTGTTTCGTTCTTCTTCCGCGCCGTGAACGTGATAAGCTCTCGTCTAAATCTGCTAAGTGTGCCTTCTTGGGTTATAGCTCTGTTCATAAGGGTTATGTCTGTTATGATCCCTCTACTGATCGTATTCGTATTTCTTGTAACGTGGTCTTTTCGAGCACCTACCATTCTTTGAGTCGTCTTCTGAGTATTGGTCCTTTCTCTCCCAGTTGTGCCCTCTTCCCTTTGAGTCTACTGATCCGTGAGATCTCCTTACTGCTGACGATGGACCTGATCAACCGCCCGACCTGCTCCCTCCACCATCACCGCCTTCCAGTTCCACTTCATCGAGTTCCTCGTCGTCATCAGATTTCGCTACCTCCTCACCTTCGCTCTCTCCACCTTCAGTGCCCCGTCGACACTCGACTCGCTCTACGTTTGGCCAGCCTCCATCTCATCTACGTGATTATGTGACCTATAATGTTACTGGTCTTGTGATTCCTACCAGGTATAAGCAAGCTCGTGGACACCCTGATTGGGAGGCAGCCATGGATGTTGAAAAGGATGCGCTCCATGCCAACAACACTTGGACTCTGGTTGATCGGCCCCTGCTCCCACCCCAGTCATTGGCAGTCGATGGGTGTATGATCTAAAGCTTTGACCAGATGGGAGTCTCAAGCGCCACAAGGCGCATGTGGTGGCACAGGGTTTTAGTCAGGAGTTCGATATTGATTATACTGAAACATTTGCGCCAGTGGCAAAGATGCAGACGGTTGGTACCCTCCTTGCTGTGGCCGCGATGAGGGGTTGGCAATTACTGCAGCTTGATGTGAAGAATGCTTTTCTTCACGGTGATCTATAGGAGGTGGTTTACATGGAGAAACCTCCCGGGTATGAGCTTGGTACCCCCAATCAGGTGTGCCGGCTTAATAAGTCTCTCTATGGTCTGAAACAGGCATCCCGCGCATGGTTTGATAAGCTGCAGAAGACTGTCACAGATCTGGGCCTTTGTCAAATTCTTAACGACCCGTCTTTGTTCTTCGCAAGTTTGATAAGGGTCTCGTGGTGCTCTTAATCTATGTCGATGATATGGTCGTGACTGGGGATGATGATGCCGGTATTCGAGCACTGACCGATGGTCTTCATGCTACTTTTAGTCTTAAGGAGCTCGACTCCTTATCCTATTTTCTGGGTCTCGAGGTAACCCGCACACCTGATGGGATTTTTTTGAACCATCATAAGTACATTGATGATCTATCGCATGATACTCACTTTGACACCAACCGCCCAACTTCCACCCCCATGAAGTGAATGTTAAGCTTGGTCGTGATACCGACACACTTCTCCCCGATGGGTCTCGTTATCGGTCTATCATTGGTAGTTTGATTTATCTATGTCATTCCCGTCCTGACATATCGTATGCAGTTCAGGTGGTCAGTCAATTCATGGCCCATCCACGTGATGCTCACCTTCTTGCTGTTCAGCGTATTCTCCGCTATCTACAGCAGACAACCCACGTGGGTCTCTTCTTTCCGTTGAAAGGGCGGGCTGAGCTTCAAGTTTTTTTTTCAGATTATGATTTTGTAGGGTGTATTGATACACGTCGTTCCACGAGTGGTTGGTGTGTTCGTTTCGGGGAGGCCTTCATTTTGTGGCGTTGTAAGAAACAAGACAAGATTTCGAAGTCCTCAACTGAAGCTGAGTACCGCTCCATGTCTGAAGTGGGCTCTAAGTTAGTATGGCTCCGATGGTTGCTCATTGATTTTGGTATCTCTTGCCCGACTCCTATGCCATTATATGTGGACAACACTAGTGCGATTAAGATTGCTGTGAACCCAGTCCTTCACAATAGGACTAAACACATCGAGATACATATTCACTACATTCGTGACTTGGTTCGTGATGAGGTGGTGCTTCTCCATTACTTGCCGACTGAGGAGCAGGTGGCCGATCTTCTCACTAAAGCCTTCTCCTCCAGTCGTCACTGGTACCTGTCTAGCAAATCGATGCTTTGCGAGCGACATCAATTTGGGGGAGGCTGTTAGCATATTGGGTTAAGCCCACTTGTACATATGTATCTCGTATGTAGGATGTTTATTTGGACTAAGTATGTTTTAACCCATGGAACTTTGTAAAGGGCTTAGGGTTTACGTGCATGGGGTTAGGGTTAGAGAGCAACTATATATATGCTCTTTAAGAAGCTGTAGAAGATCATCCGATTACACCATTGAATAAGATATCAGCTGGAGAGGTCTCTCTCCCGTGGAGTAGTCCCGAATATCGGGGATACCACGTATATCGAGTGTTATCGTTTCCTGTTATTGTTTACGTTCAGCTCGTTACGCACTTGGACGAATCGATTGCAGCGGTAGCATCCGTAGGACGGCCTGGGTGACGATCAACTTGAGAATGAATCTATGTATATCAATACTGTTTTTCCAGCGTTTAGATCTGAAAAGAAGAAAGCTAAGTGGCGAACACATCCTTTGTTGTAAGAGAGGAAAAAAGGAAAATGAGATTGCAAAGGGAGAGAAAAAAGCTAAGTGGCGAAGACAGCCTTTGTAGTCCCGAATATCGGGGATACCATGTATATCGAGTGCTACTGTCTTTCTCCCGTGTTGTCCCATGTCAGCATTTTTGTTAGTCTAGTCAGCCCGTTAGATGACACCGTTAAAGTATTGGACGGAAGTGGCTATAAGTGGTATTTCTTCAAATTTGGCTATTATTGGCAAAAATGCCAAAGTTTTGACTATACAAGTGTATTTTGCCAAAAAAGAATACTATTATTTAAACTAGTTCCCTTTGTTCTGGTTTGCTCCGCCGCTGCCAGTTTTCAGCCGTGTGACATAGAGATATAGAGTGACCGAGATCGAGCTTGTGAGAGCGAATACCCAGCTTGCCAGACGATCGGTGTAACTCGCGCTTGCCAGATGCATGCTACTCGCACCACCACCAACACCGCACCCCATCGCCTCGCCACCACGGAAGTGGCGCCTTTACGAGCCCAACGAGGAGAAGAATATATAACGATAGAAAAAAAGTAGCAGACGCGACGGCTTCTGATTTTGGGAACGGGATCTTGAAGGAGCAGCAGAAGTGGACAGACAAGAACAACGGTGGGTAAGATGGGGGCACGACCTCTTTCCCCATTCTGGTGGCCAGCCGCCATAAATCTATCGAGGTCGCTTGAATCGGCGGCGGCTTATTGGGATGAAAGACGAGTCTCTCGTCGACCTTACATTCGTGGAGCTGGCAGTCGCTATCGACGACGAAAGATAGCTGAGAGTTTCTTCTCCTGGATTCTGTAGCGGTCACGATACCAATCCTTCAAGGAGCTCTCTTCCCCGATGATATAGATCTGCATCTGGTATGCGATTTTCAACTGTTGATTTAGCCATCCCTTCCTGAGTGCTTATAGATCGAGCTTGAAAAATACAGATCTGAACGCTTATCGGTGACGTTTCCTCCTCCTCTCGTGGATTTAACCATCCTCTGTCGAGTGTCGCCGCATCGAAATGATTGACGTTTGTAGTCGTTTTCACCTTCCTGGATGGGACGAGCTTTTGCAATCTTGAGGACAGAGAAGCAGCGGCGGCAGTAGTAGAGGCCTTCATTGAATCTGTTCTCTTTGTGGTTGTTTGATGATTTGGTAAAGTAAAGAAAAAGGAGAAGAACAACGCTTGAACGAGAAGAAATTTGGTCCATTAGTGATAGGCTGATAGCAGAGTCACCAGCGTGGGTATATGATTTAGCTTCATAAATGTTGTAGACATAATGTATTGTTTATGTATCTTTGTATTTATTTTTTTATGGGCAATGTATTAATTTATTTTAAGAATAAATTCATTAAAAAGTTATTAATGAAATTTGAATTGTTATTTTATTTTTCACGTAAAATTTGAAATTAATCAAAATTATGAAAGTTGAAATAGAATAAAAAAGTATTGGCTCACGAAACAAGTACTGGCACACAAAGCAAATATTTACTACAACAAGGTTTTTTAGAAACAATTATAATTGTCTCCAAAACTAGAAATAGGAACAAAAATATTTCTCTCTAAAACCAAATAAGAAGAGAAAGGATATGTTTTTTTAAAGTGGAGTTACAATCAATAAGATTTGATTCGGATTCCTTAATTAGAAGCAAATATTATTTGCATCTATATTTGTATCTATATTTGTTAGAACGTCAAGTTCTTGGTGCAATACTTAAAAAGTATTGGTGCTTTAGGATTTTTATGTTTATGTTATAAATTGAAGGTGTATTTTTAACGTTATGATAAAATTTTAGGTTGTATTTATATTTTTTTACAAATTTCTTTATGGTACAAACTAAATTTGTATCTTTATATTATATGGAGCTTAATTGAAGGCTTGGGTTGATCTTTTAGTCAATTAATTCAAGCCTAGAAGATGAAGATCTTGAGCAATTTGGTAATCTCTCTCCTCTTCTCTATGAACTAGTTCTCCTTCTCTTAAGAAAAAGAAAACTAGGTCTGGATTTTGATTTGAAGTTGATGTATGTGACATATTCTAACATATACTATGTTTGATTGATGATTTTATCTTTTTGATTAATGGTTTTCATGAATTGCATGATTTATGTTTCCACTTCATGTCAATTGAGCTTTTGGACTAGCAGGGAGATAATCCCCTCAAAGCCTATTATTGGCATCTTCGGGTCCCTCCTAGTGTATATTGTCCTGGTAATCCATGAGGGAGTTGATTCTATAGATCTCAAAATGATATATGAATCCATAGGTTGAATAGAGGGCCTAGCCATCCATCACTTAGCTGCTCCAGGTCAATCCCGAGTGAGTCTATCTCCTAACGGTAGGGTAGTGATTCGATCGAGCTAGGATGATACTCAACATCTATCCTAATGATAGAACTAGGGGGACTCAACCTAATTGAGCTCCACCACTTGTAATTAGGTAGGTTAGTGTAGTTAGATAGTTTCTCAATCACTATTATAGGTTGGCTAGATAACAAAACTTAAGCCGAAGTAAGGTAAGCCTAGATCCCCGTGCATGATTCGATAAAGTTTATTGCTTTCTTACCCTATGCTACACCCGGTCGTCGGTTTTGCGTGGTCGTCGATTGGGATGTGTAGTTAGGAACGAGCCACTATCGAAGTACATCTAACGGTCGAATCACCTAGAGTATACTATGCTACTGGAGTATACTTGTCTTATCTATCTATCTATCTATCTATCTATCTATAGTTCAGAGTAGCGTACGCCTGGCATATGCTTACTTTACCGTACACCCGTCCAGTTTTGTTCGTTCGACCGTGCAAAAGCTAGTGTATGCTATACGCCGGCGTTCACGCTTAATATTTGTACTTGAATAATTCCGACGAATCATAACCGTTGATTTTCATTTTGAGTTTAAATGGAGCTTATAGTTTGAGTTAGAAAATTGAGGGCTGGGGTTCACCCAATAGAGTTTAGGGTATAGTATCATTGCCCAAACTCCGGTTAATTCACGGTCGAACTAACAAAACTCGACGGGTGTATGGTTAAGTAAGTGTACGCCAGGCGTACGTCACGCTAGCCTGAACCATATATATCAGTTCTAAATAATAAAGTAGTACTTAAAGTAAATAACTATTACAATAACAACCTAAATTTATACAAAATTTAAAATAAATTCCTGGGATCTTTTTCGTCGAACAACAAGTTTGCCGATCGAAATCAATAGTTACTCCAACGTTCGAATCGAGGATGCATGGGGGTTGAATTGTTTGTGTTGGGAAGAATCTTTTCTCGGTCAACAATTCTTGTTATAGGCTTGATCCTATGTGTAGGTCTGTCCTCCATTAGAAGAATTAATTTGCACAAAAAGGCAATCCCTTTTCACCTAGACTGCTTTTACTATTCATTGGCTTCTCATTGGCTGCTGCCCTGGTGTGGGCCTGCCTTGCCAGGTTTTGTGGCGGAATACGCGCCGGTCTTTCTTGCTCCTACCTTTTGCCACTAAACACGCACCAGCCTCAAGTGGGCGCTCCTTCCCTTTGCGATGGAACCCCCGCCAGCCTCAGATCATTCCTGATTTTCTATGCCCTCTCTCTCATCTTGGTCTTTGTGGTAATGATGGTCGCACAGTTCGTCTGCTTTAATCATCACAATGCCAGCTGATTGACGAGATAGAGGGAGGGAGAGAGAGATATATATAAGAAAGAACACTGATATTCTCTATATTTCTCATTACCCTTCCTTTTTATTATTTCGGCATTGACCTCTGTTTTTCCTCTCATATCTGCTCTTTTTCTCTCCTGAATTTTTTTCCCGCTCCTTTCCCTTATTCTACTTCTCTCTCATATCTTCCTGCTTCTTTGATTTGTGATGATTTTCTTTGTTTGTTTTGTTTGTTATCATAGATCTCCGTGATGCTGCAGCGGGAGGATAAAGCGGGCAGAATCCGAAGGCAAAGCTTGCTATCTATGCTCCTTACCAATTAATGACGAGTTCACATTCTTCCCCTCTCTCTCTTGCTTTTTTTAATAGTTTATGGATGATGATGGTTCCCTGATTTGTTCTATTTTCTTTTTTTCCCTACTTGAAAATTGGTGCAGTTTCAAGTTGATTGGGGTACATGGAAGTTTGAGAGAGTTCGGCAAAGAAGCAAACCATAGATCAGAGTTCTGTTATGAGATGATTATTTTCACACTCTCTCCACTGCCTTTTTTTCTCTTTTTTTTTTTTCTTGGATGGATTCGTGCTCTCTCTCTCGGTCTCAGAAGTTTTTGTTTGATCTCTTTTCTGAGGAGCTTCTGTCATTATTTTCCTTGATAGCATTTTTGGAGGGATGGGCGTTCGTCGAATGCTAGCGAGAACCTGTAGGACTAGGTGATTTTTTTTAGTTCGGAAGTGATCAAGCTATGTATTCGGAGGTTTAGATGTGATTCGAATGAAAAACATATCTGGAAATGGTCAGGTGAATTGATCATGCCATGTGCGTATTTTTTTTTTATCTTAATAGTGATGTGTGCGTGTTCGTCTTCGATCTCCTCCTTAATCTCCCTTCCCCAATTTTTTGCCCTCTATTTTTTTATTTTGTTTTGTTGTTGCCTTATCCTAATTTATTGTTTTACTTATTGATAGCAGGCTGGTTTTACTCGACAAGTAACACTCTGATCTGGGCAACTAAAAGTTATTGTCATGGTATTGGCTTTTTAGTAGGCTGATATACTCCATGTGTCAAGGTGATTTTGAGAAGACAGTAGATCTAGCAGCTGCTAGGGTTTTCAATTTGAGAGAGAAGTGATTGATTTGGAGGAATTTGGGAGAATGCCTTCTCATTCCATTTTGCACAGCATATATACATAGTTAGGTAATTGCAGATTCCTAATCTACTGTTACAACGACTAATTGCAACTAACAGATTAAAATATACAATTACAGAGGGACAAGTGTCTAAACGAGAATCAGCTACTAAGTGACGTTGGAGAGTAGCAAAACGCAGTCGTCTTTATTTATTTACGATCCAGATTTGGTTGGACCGAGTTAAAGGAAGCCTGATCCGTCTTCTTACCCGAACCTCTGTACTTCGTCTTCTTCCTTCAGCAGAGTGAAGCTTTGTCAAAATACTATGTTCTTCCTCTGATACACTCTACTTGATACGCCCCCTCAAGTTGGTGAGTAAATATCATGTACACCCAGCTTGGAGAGCAAGAACTTAAACCGATCACCAGACAGTCCCTTAGTGAATAAGTCGGCTAACTAATTCTCGGTATTCAAATGAAATAAATTAAGAAGTCCTGATTTTAACCTTTCCCTGACGACATGGCAGTCCACCTCTATATGCTTCGTTCGCTCATGATAAACAGGATTTTCCGCAATGTGAATGGTCGACTAGTTATCACAATACACCTTCACTGGGTTGAATGTGAGATTCCGAAGAAATTGAGAAAAGCCTTTAACCACTGCACCTCACAGGCAAGTTGTGCCATTGCCCTGTATTCTGCCTCAGAAGACAAACGTGATACTGTACTCTGCTTCTTGCTTTTCCAAGTAATCAGTGAACTACCTAGGAAAGTACAATACCCAGTAATCGATTTCCTTGAATTTGGACAAGTCGCCCAATCTGAATCACAATACCCACTTAATTGTAAAGTGGACTATGAAGAAAACCACATACCCTGTGCTGGGCAACCCTTTAAGTACCTTAAGATTCTATGCAGGGCTTAAAGATGAACTGTAGTTGGGCGATCTTGGAACTGACTGAGTTGCTATACATGGAAACAAATGTCAGGCCTGGTAGACGTCAAATACTGCAATTGACCCAAAAGGTGTCTGTAAACTGTGCCATCATCAAGTAATGTTCCATCTTCAGCAGACAATGTAGTCTTGGTACTAATTGGTGTCTTAGCTGGGTTACACTCCAAGAAGTGTGCATTTTCAAGCATTTCCAGACAGAACTTGCGTTGACACAAAGAAATCCCAGCCTGAGTTCTAGCAATCTCCAAACCTAGGAAATACTTTAAATTTCCCAGATCCTTAACCTTGAAACCTTTCTGCACTTGTGTCTTAACACGTTGAATATCCTTCAAACATGGTCCTGCCACAATAATGTCATCAACATAGACGACCAACACCACTGTGGAAGTCTT